AATATTGCCGGTTTTTGGACAAAAGATTGAGTTTTTCACCAGTAATTTGGAGAATATTAGCAATTCGAAACGATGCACATATTACTGTCCCTCTCTTTAAGCAGTTCTTCACAAATAACTGAATAATAACAATTTCCAATACACTTTCGAGTATTCACACGAAGGATGTAGAAGAAATAAGCAAAACCAGTTGAGTTAATTTACAATGAATTTGTTGGTGTTCATATGATGAAGAGAACCTTCATAGAACAAGCACAAAAATCCCTCAGACTCGATACTTAAAAAAAACCGCCAAATCACAGTTAATTACCGGAACGGGGTTGGTTTGTTTCAAAGAGCAAGGGGGGGGGGGTGCTTATCACCGAAAAATTTCGAAAAATCCCCAAAATTTGGGTAAAATCCCCCAAAATGGCAACCCTGACAAAGTAGCCTGTCGGTCCCACTATCAGCGCTCCAGAAGTCGTCCGAGCACCAAACAGTTGATATGATACAGCAGAAGCGATCATTCCGGAGAGACACGTGCCCCATTCCATGCTACGCACCGTAAAAGTAAAATTACTAGAGAGGTTAAATATCACTAGCTCTTGAAATTTAGCATTTGAAGATCGAATTATAAAATGATCGAAAGCGTTTCATTTTAAAAATAGTTGCCCCGTGAAAATTTCATTAAAACCTCGCGACATCCTGTACGAGTTCGAAAGTCGAACGCTCAGCATCCTCTGAAACCGAAACACAAATTTAGAACGGATCGCAATTTCGAAACGGCATCTAATTAACTAGAAATATCCGTCGTTCGATCTGCAGACTACGCAATATATGAAAAGGAAGAAGCAGGTGTTTGTAATTTTTGATAACCGGCGTATCCCATGTTCAAAGTTTATCCAATTATTTCCTAATGATCTCAAAATAATTACGACAATCTTCCTCATCTGGTCTAATTAGCTACAGAATATAACATAATGAAGTTTGTTAATTAGTATGGTATGTTTGGGAGGTAGATCCAATTTGGGATGACGTTAATTATGATTCCGAAACAGCTTTCTTAAAAAATAACGGCATCTAGTTAAGGATCTTTTTGCATCTCTTCTCTTCTTCGTTTCGTTTTCAACCACGGATTCGAAATACATTGCTCGTCAGAAATGTACAAGAAGGATATCCTGATTCACGAGCTCATATGTTTAAAAGATAACGTGGTACTTACAAATAATTTTATTTTCCAATAAAATAGGGTGATTCAAAGTCAGAAATGGCATCTGTAAGATGTTACCGATATTGCGGAAACAATCTACCTAAGGAGGCTTTTCCCAGTTATATGAACATTAGGCAGTTCAAAAACCGGAGCAACAAAATTTGTTTAAGCCGCGCTGATCTGGTTTTTGGCTTCTGCCTGTGCGGCTTCTTCGACATAAAAAAAATTAAGAATGATGCAAAAATATTGCTTGTTTTCATTTTAAAGGATCTTTTATAACATAGTCTATACCTCACATAAAACGATATGATTTATTTGATGGTAGTACTGTTCTAAGCCTAATTATTTTTAATTCTTCATAAATAAACCTTAAATATATACATAATTGAGTCTTCGAATACAGTGACCCGCCATTATAGAATTGGGGTACGAAAGGAGGTTTTTTCGTCCAGAATATTACTCAACTAATATTTTTGCATTTAAATATTTTACAACATATGTATTTTAAGCTTTCGTCATTTTTCTTTTTATTTGAGGCTCGCGATTTCATAACTTAATACTTTAAAGCTATAGAAAAGCACATTGACTTACAAAAAAACAATAAAAATGATTGTGATGCGCCACTACGTTTGAAATAAGTAGAATAGCCGAATTCTCGTTATAATTATACACATTATACATTGTTTTTCAAAAGGTTTCAGAACGGTTTTACGACGGGTAGGACTAACCCTCCCTACTTTTGACGCAGAGTGTATAACTGGAGTTCTTTTTGCATCTCTTGCGCTCCGACCGCGAGCTCGAAATAATTGGTTTAATTATGTAGCCTTTTAAACACCACGACCACCCCCGTCCCGTACGCCGCGCCGGGATGTTCACGCTCTTCATCCCCCTGGAGAATAAATAAGTGTATGACCTCCGGGTAAACTCGCCTAACAATAAAAAACATCTTTTGAGTCCTCCACAGAAAATTATACTAACAAGTGTCTATACAATTACCGGGACCAGTTCGGATTTCTTTTGCTAGACGTGCTCTGGCACGTACGATATTTTAAGGTCAGCTTCATTGGAAGCATTTAGAGAACTACAGCACTTGAGCAGCTTAATGTCATATTTCCATGGAAGTGTTTTCCTAAAGAGTGTGTGTTGGTTGCTAAAAATTTGGTTTTGTAATCTCTACCAGTGCATGTTATGGGATTCTTTTCCGAGGAACTTCAAATTTAATATAAACAATCAGAAGATAAGCATTACGTTATCAGTCATTTGTTGCCTAGTCTCGGTTGACAGCTTCTGAGCATAAATGGGGCCTAGAACGTAGCCGGAATAACACAGAAATTTAACTGAAAAGTAAATATTTATATTTGTTCAGATTACAGTTACAGCTTCCTGTCAGTCACATTTCTTATGTATTATTCCATGATATGAATAAGATGTTCAAACGGTTAGAATATTTTTGGCTGTCTGTAGCATAATCTACACTTTGTTAGTCTGCCTGGCTTCATTTTTTATGAATGATAGAAAAGCTGGATATAGAGATATAAGTATATTTAATTTGGTAGTTACATGCGAACAAATAGAGAAACTAAGAATATTAAGTATTAACTAGTACTTAAGTACAAAAAGTATTTGATATAAGTATATTTTGAGTTATGCACAAACACAAACTGATGTTTTCGAAGCTACGACAAAATGAGTGGTGGTTTTTACAAACATTAAAAAGCAACAGCTTAAGATTTTAGGAATTATGGTACGAACGATCAACTTTGTACACCCATTGGTGAAGAAACTTCGAGAGGAACAAGTTCGTTCAACGTGTTGAATTCTGGAGATTCCTTGAATATTGCTTAACAGCGACCAACAACGGCTTGATGTTTTGGGAACATAAAAAGAAAGCACATTCGTACAAGTGTATGGTTTTTTTAATTTAAAGATTTCCGTTCCAGAACCTTTGACACCTACTCTCTATGAATGACAAAAATCCATTCCAAACGAGTATTCCTCTGAACTCCACTTTGTACAGGGTGGCCAATATATAACTGTGTGATTTAAATTGCGCTCCATTTTTGACACACGCATTTCAATAGGTGGCGCCGTAGTAGTTGTTTAAAGCACATGTGTTCAATTCATCATGGAGCGCTACACGATCCCATAACGTGTCCGTATTGTTAAAACGTTTTACTTAAATAATGAGTCGATTGTTGCAACGATTTGGAAGCTACGACAAGATTTCGCTCGAAATAATGTGCCCAGTATCAATACCATTCGTCAGTTGGTTCGAAAATTTAAACAAACAGGTGAAGTTAAAGACTTGCTAAGGTCGGGCCGAGTTTGAACTGTTCGTACTCCGGAAAATATCGAGAGAGTTCGTGAAAGTGTAGTGGAGCGCCCTGAGACGTCTACCAAACATCGTTCTCAAGAACTGGGTATTCGTCGCACGTGATTATGCACTATTTTAAAAAAGTACTTGCATTTGCGGCCAAAATTCAGTTAACCCAAGAACTACAGCCTAGTGACCATCAAAGTTGCCGACAATACAGTCATGCAATATTGAAGCTTAATACCAAAAATAACGATTTTTACCGACAACTGATAATGAGCCGACTTAGATATGAACGGATTTGTTAATAAGCAAAATTGTGGTATCTGGACATTAGAGAACCCTCGTGTCATCATCAACAACCACTACATCTTCATCAAGTCACAGTTTGGTGGGGTGTTTGGTATTGGACCTTACTTCTTTGAAGACGCTGCAGGAACAATGTAATCAAGAGGGCTCATGTTTGCGTGGCTTCTAGATGCGTACATTATTTGTCTGATATTATTTTTCATATATAATTCCTAAGTTTCAATAAAAGGCTAAGGTGAAGAAAATCGACGTATTCTATTTCATTTCACAAATATTCAAGATTCAAACCAGTCAGTTACATATCGGCCACCCTGTATCTATACATATTAATAGCATGACATGTATATTTGCCAAATGATATACTGGTTTAATGTATCATTACTAAAATATCTCTTATGTACATTCTATAGTTTATCGTTATGTTGGGAGGTCTTCGCATCCCACACAATCTCGGATACAATGAGACAAATTAAGTTGCCAGAAAAGCAAACACTTAATGCGTGCGCGCTTGATGGGGCATTGTTAAGGAATTTTAACGAACCAGTAAGCTGGACCTCACAGGATGACTCCCGAGGCACGTACCGCTCATATCCAGTCTGGACGATCATTTTGCTCAAACGCTCTTTGCATACGCATGCAATACGAATTCATAAGAACTTCATTACTACTGCACAAGTAAAAAAATACCAGAATAGTAGGTTTGGTGGCTCTTCACAATAAACGATGAGTTTTAGTTTAAGGTATACTAAGTTCGCGGCTCCACTAGCGCGGAAGTAGTGTAAAATATAAATTATTGGTTTCGCATTCATGTGAGTGAAGATTTTTGAGAAAGTAATGCAATAAGTAATTTTGTATCTAACATTTTCATGCAACAATAAGGGGAATAAATATGTTATTTTGTTGGAGGCAGTATATTTATACACTTCCAGCCTCAGTAATTTTACGCACCTATCGGTACATATTTCACACATCAAAAACTTGTTGAAGTGGTTTACCTATTATGGTTCAGACGTGATGCTGACCGAATGGACAGACGTTCAAATTTATATATATTCGAAGGAGTTGTCGAATCTACGCTACTGCTTCCTAATTTTCTCGCCTCATCCTATTAATATATTTTTTCATCCCATTTCTAGTTCTGACCCAAAAATCCATCCAAAAATCGCAATAAAGCTATTTTATTTTCAGATTCGGACAACCTCGAGCAACTTTGAGCCAAAATGGAAATATTACAACGACGAAATAAGCATCTTAGAATACATAAGAATTAGTTTTGGGTGTTACATATTGTTTACATTTTGCACCGTTTTCAAATTTAACTAATAAACAGGTCCATTTAGTCCATAACATCCTTTCCCTGTCCTTCCCATAATACCGTCCATCTGGCTACGTCGCGTCGCCTCTCCCCAATATCTGGAATCATGATGCGTCATATGCGGCAGATCGCCTACAGCACCAGTCATGCAGAACACATACGAAAATCGGCACGCCAGCTGCGCCTGTTCAAGTCACCAGTCGAACACATCTCTATCGTTCTAAGTTTTAATGGCAAGTGTACGGGACAATCTATGGCGAGTGAACTATGTCTACTATGTTTGCTGAATTATTAATATACTAACATCACAAATTGCGATAAACCCTCTCCTATCCCCTACAACCTCTCACCATCCAATTTTTTCCCCAAAACATTTTTTCAAAAATGGTCAGAATCCTCCGATCGCCACTTTCAAAGTTATAGACGGGCCAAGGATTTCGTGATATTCATGTCATCTAACATCCAAAAAACATAACATCTCGTTCTCGCGATTACAATACTGCCGCCAGTAGACGTGGGAAGTAGAACATTATAGGATGATATTGATTGAAATCCTTAAAAAGAATATTTTTCTCTTCCTTTTTTCCTCCAATAAAAACCTTCAGATCTGAATGAAGGTAAATCCTTCAGTATGGTCGCCTTTATTTAACATTCGACATTACCACTTGAATCGTAAAAATGAAGTTGCAGGTCAGTCCTGAGTAATTTATCTGATGCTAAGTAACTTCAGCTTCACGTTTTACTAAGCCAGATTCTCTCTTAGGTCCATAGCACCTAAGTTGGAACGGAAAAGCAGAAGCATTCGGTAACTATATGATTATAAACGAAACGAATCGTTTCAAAGGCGATTCCAAAGCAATAAAACACAAAACCTACCAATTTAATTAAAAGGTTTACGAGGATTTTTGTAAAATAAATTAAACAGGCAATTACCTCTTTTGATTTATATGTTGCGGCTCTGTCCCAAATTATACCCCATTCGCCCCACAGGTGGCAACAAATTAAATTAGGGGTAATATATATCTGTGAAAGTGTACTTACCACTCGGGAGACTAGTTATAAAATTCGGATTATACGTCACCCTTGTAAATCATGCGTATTTTATTACGGGGACATTGTAAAGAAAAATAAGGCCGGGTCGCCGCCGACAACGAGATGACGGTTGAGGAGCAGAATAAAAGGTATAAAAGAGCCCTCGGCTCAAGAAAGGGTGTAATATCTTTATTCAAATTTGCAGCTGATTCACTCAAACGCGTTGCATCTTTGCCCACAATGCAATGTCAATGTAGCCGTGCTTTAATTAATTTGCTTCGTAGCATTTCCGTATACAGCGCTGTTTTGTACTTATTCGCACGGTCCAGGTGGGACGGCAAACGAAAGCTGAGCAAAATGATCTATATCAGAGGTACGAAGTTGAGAAAATACGCTGTACGCAGTGGCCAGTTCTATAGATTTATAAAAAGAAATATTTTTTTTCATCTCGCAGGCCATTATTGTAACTGTGCGTATTGATGTACTCAAGAAAAAAATGGAATTTTACTTATTTTATTTTATGAACATTATATTTCGGCTTTCTGATAAAAATCAGTCGTAACCACAGAATTTTTCGTGGTAATTCTTTTAAAAAAATCCAACTTTGTTTTTTTTTGTCGTTTCGGGTCCTGAAAAATGTGTGGAGGTCGCTCTGCAGCATGACTGAGATCTTTAAACTGGTTCTTCCTTCTCGTAAAACTTGATTTCCATGTTACTAATATTGTTACCACCCTGTAGAGTGTTGTAGGACAGATAGCTAGCGTATTACTGTTAGTATTTTTCGAGATATGTTAATTTTATCAAACGAATTCAGACTAGGTAGATGATTTGTTTGTCTCCAAAATTAACAGGATTGTATACATGACAAAAATACTGGAAAGTATTGGAGACAAACAACATTTTTTGGTGGATGCTGAACAGGTCTAAGAGGTGAAAAGACTAGAAGTATTTCATTCCAAGTGCGACAAGAAGGGGACATGCATGACAATTAGTGTGACGAAATAAGATATTCAGTAAATCCACGGACTTGAAGCGACAAGTGGTGAGAAGTTCGACGGAAATCGGTCAAGAATAGATACAGTGAGTACAGTAAATGAAAGTTATCGCCAGAGCCATGAAATGAGTGAAGCCAATCAAGAGCAAATCGCATGTTTGACAACCAGCTCAGAACAAGCCGTAACAAACCTCCAAGGTAGGCAAAAACAAGTCATAACAGACCTCTACAGCCTACAAGACACTTATCAGCAAACGGTGACGAAAGTAGTTGCACTCCTGAAACATTACCGAGAAGAGGTAGTAGTAGCAGGGCTTAAAGAGGATCTGAGGCGTCAAGAAGAATAAGCGGATAAACTCGCGTAGCCTCATGGCGCCTATACCCTAAACTGAACAGTGATTTGAGCTATGCAATCGTCATATCTTCGACCAAATGCAATCATCAGTAAACCAACTATATGATATAATCCCCTACTACCAGATTGCTACCCACAACTCACAATGACGAAATATGGTTGCCGCGGTTTGGGCAAAATTGACTGAAAACGGCCATGCGTTACGTCATTCCTCCATAGGTAGCGTTCGCAATATATGGCCTACGCGACCCGTTGTTGTAGACACCTACGTATGTATATTTTTTGTTGTTCTGCTTCACCTGAGGTCAAGTATTTTCAAACAAATCGATACTTGATGGGAAATTATATTTTTGCTCTACTAAAGGCCTTCAGTGATAATTAGTTTGTACAACCGGTGAGCCCATTTTGTGTACTGAGTGACAAAAAAGGTAAAAACCTGCATATCTTATTAGAATTCAAGAATTTTTTACATATCGATTTATCTTGCCATGAAGAACAAGTGACAGGCGAACGCTACACGCTCAATAATTATCGCGATACTTGGGTCACGATCCAATATCGTGATATCTATTGATTGTGTAGAGTGATATATTGATGGATCACGATCAGTATCGTAGGATTTCTAGAAATCTTGAAATCCGTGGTCAATCCATGGATCACGCGATATCTATTGAACGTTGAGTTTCATCGTAATATATATCACGTAATTAATATATATGATTGAGACTTTTTTATTACTTACGCGAAGAACATATATCAATGCTTCACAGGTATCCATGACTGCTTGGCTTACTGACTCTGGGGACATTATCCCTGCAAACCTTATATCTTTAAAATTTCTTCCTGTTGCCAGATAATGCAATGTCTGTGCCAATTTTTCTCTTACCGAAATTGCACTTCTCATTATTGTATGCTTTTTGGACAAAAATGTGTAACTAATTCAAGGAGATTTTCAAAACAGTTATCAGACATGCGGAAATAATTTTGATAATCGTCCATTTCCTTGTAAAGTCGAATTGCATTCAGTAAATTAAGATGCGTGAATTTGTCTCGATCTTGAAGCCATTTCTTTATCCACCTCTTTCTTTTCACTTGTTCCAACGAAAATGCCAGTAAAATAGCTACACTCGCTTTAACCTGATTTTCTGTCTCCATTTTTAAAACGGCTTTCACAAAAATTATGAAAATACTGTCAAGATAAATATTGTACGTCTCGAGTCTATTGTGATCCATCAGTAAATATCGTGGAATCGTGATCCAAGTATCGCGATAAACATTGAACGTGTAGCGTTCGCCATAAAATGGTCAGGTTTTTTTGTTAAGTTTTTGTGGAGGCTGCGTGTATTGTTTGGTGATAAAGAAGCATTCAATTTTTGGTACTTTTACGGTGTCAGTTAAATGTTAAATTTCGACTAGCTCATTGAGAAGCCTTTTTGTGATTACTCAAAATGCCTAGAGTGGGTGGAATTCGCCGGGTGTGCCAGTTAAGTGACTTTCAGAGGGCGAATGTAATAGCATTGCACATGATGCAATACATAGTCAACCTACTTGACGCCTTTTTAGGGGGTAAGTGAGACCATATATAGAATAGCTCACAGCTATTCTCGCCTAGTTGAAATAAGTGATCTGTAATATTAGTTGATAAATACTCGTATTTCCCCCCAAATCCGCGTGTACAGTGAAATGAGCTTGGAAATCATATAATAATTATGTAATAATCATAAATAAATAGTAAAATGATATACAGATATCAAGGTGGTCTTCACAGACATAGAGTAATGGACAAAAGTATATAGACAAATATGAATATTTACCTAAATACCTTTAGAAAACGAATTCATACTTCATTGCTCCATAAACAAATGCGTTATTAGTAGAAAAACTAAATTTCTTGTTTTTACATTATCTGCAATGAACACAGTACAAGCCTGAATATGAGCACTTTTCTAAGAGGGACAAAAATATGCAGACAAATTATTTTCAACATTAGTTTAGTACAGTTTCGTGTCAGAAGAGGATTAGCTTGTGTCCATCAAGTATTGTGGAATAAGTTGAGTGATTTTAAGACCATGCCGCGTGGTCCAGAAATTTCTTTCGATGTGTAAACTAAGATCATTGAGTTATACAAAGATGGTTAACGTCAAGTCGACATTGCCAAAAATTTGAAGCTGAAGCGTAAAGCAGTTTTTGCAATATTGAACAAATATAAACAAAAAGGTATCTTGGAAGCCTCTAAGAGAAGTGGTCGGCCTAGAAAACTAAATGCTAGATCAGTTAGATTGATAAAAGTAATTTCGTCCAAAGATCCGTTTAAAATACCAAGACAAATAAAAGCCGAAATCGAGACAAAAGGAATTGTCAGTATTTCTACGGAAACTATAAGTGGAAGATTAAATGATTTGAACTTATTTGCACGTTGCCCGAGTAAGAAGCCGCTAATCTCGAGGAAAAACCGTAAGGACCGATTACAATTTGCACGGTTGCATCTTGATTGGAGCATCTGTGACAGGAAGAGGGTATGTGTTCATTACGTTAGACGTTCTAGTGGACAAAGATTGAACCCCAAGTACACTCTGGCCACTGT